GATGATAGCTGTGTTTATTACAGGGGTATATATCTCTTTTACGGTATGTTAGACAGGTTTATAATACATTTTTATTATTTTAATATACCGGTAATCTTAATTTGAATCCAGCTTGCCAAACGTAAGTTTCAGTATAAAATAATTAGTGGTAAGACCTTGTGAGTGGCTTACGATGTTTTCATCACCACTCTTGACACACTAAACCACAATATTTAAGAGGTAAGAATTTTAAACTTGGTGGTTTAGACGACCCCCTAACTTTGGGCAGATTTTTTTAATGTTCAAATTTCGTCTTATAGGCCGTGATATACGGTAGTTACCTTGATTAGTCTTATCGCCTGCTACTGTTGCTCCCTGATACTTGGCACCTCTTGGAATGGACCAATACATCAAAGTTTGGAGTTAATGACTGAGCTGCAGCAACCTTCGGTATTGAATTCAGGTGTGCATCAGTAAGTTGAGAACGAAGCCGAGATTTGTTAACGTTCATTACATAAACGAGCTGTTCACAAACATAAATACTTCCAAATATGGACATAATCAGGCAAAACACTTAATCCTGGGATAATTCTCAAAACAGAATCACACTGGGGCTTAATTAATTCTAACTGAAGATGTTCTGGTACCTCATTAACACCGGCAGAAAATGGGTTCTGAAAAATGGAAAATCTTTCTAAAGGTATTTAAAGTCTGCAAATCTTTCTTGAAACTCATTCCTTAACTTGGAAATCTTGATGCAGTACTTTTCTGTGTTAGTATCAACATGAAGCTCAGGTGTGCCTTGCAGGGAATTTCATGTCGGAAAGTGTGAAAGATTACTCTCTGCAAGTTGCCCTTCAAATATCTGCAGTTTCATATCAAAGGAACAAATGCAATCATAAAACTCTGTTATCAATTTATTGCATCCTTGCATCTTTGTGTTCAGGTAATTTAAGTGCTCTGTAATATCCACCATGAAAGCTAGATCTTGATCCCATTCATTATCTTTCAATTCATGCACATAATTTCCTTTCTTTTCCATAAACATCTGTATTTCACTACGCAATTCATTAAATTGCTTCAGTATGACTCCCCGACTTAACCAACAAACCTCAGTGTGATATGGCAGTCAGTGTGTGTTCTTATTTTCCTCCAAAAAGCAGTTGAACTGTCTGTGGTTCAGACCTTGTGTTCATATAAAGTTCAATTGTCTTTAGAACGACATCCACGACATTATCCATCTTTAATGTTTTACTGCACAACACTTCTCTATGTATATTGCAATGCAAATTATGAAATTGATGGTTTGGGTTCACAGTTAGTAGTTTTTCCTTTAATTTTTTTGCCACGTCAGCCTTTTTACCCACCATTTGCAGTGCTCCATCTGTTGCCAGACTCACAGTTTGTACCCAGTCAACACCTAATTTATAAAGTGCCCTTACCAAACTCAAGAAGATGTCATCACCTGTTGTTGTTCCTTTCATTGGTAGTGTGACAAAAAAGGGTTACACTTTTATCTACATGGCTTACTTCACACTACCCAAACTGTTAGTTAACCCGCAGTCAAATAGTAAGCACACAAGTCATGAGATGGCTCCTGATTTGTGGAAAACCATCGCCGGCTGTTGAGGGTGCCATCTATGACAGGTGACATCTACCCTAACCCTGGGGTTTCAACACAGTCTGACTCTCCTCACCTCGGCGACTTGTTCACCCTGCCTACTCTGTCGTGAAGTTCAGCGACTGTTACTGCACTCTGCCGATGCACAGCGGGACCTACTGGCCGGCTATTTGTAACGTGTATAAGTACAGCTGAGTTCATTATTTTTCACCCTTGCATCTGTGTTTTGTGTTCATTTTGTTTTAAGAATATTATATGAAAATCACTTGCAATTTTTTCACGTATGGCTTTAAATCAATAATTTTATATCGATTCGCTTTAAATCAACGTTCTACTGTATTCCCTTTATGTTTCTGATCTTATGATAATTATTTTTATTATTTTTTGGGGGCACTTTCTGTATGAATGATTGTGTGTGCATGTAACAAAGTAAAAAAAAAAATATGAGTTGAAAAATAAGAATAACACAGCTCACAGCTTGGCCTGGTAGGAGGAGGGCCAGGGGGATGTAGCTGCAGTGACTGTATAAACTGGCAATATGCCAAGTCCAAACATACGTTAATTTTTGTATTTCACAGATTTATATTATATCTTCCTTATTTCTAAGCCACATTAGAGTACAGTCAACCCTCGCTTTACGCGGTCCCACTTTACGCTTTTCCACGTTTACGTGGTACCCTGCCGACCACGGAATGCTCACTTTCCGCGGTGTGTGTACCCTTTTACGCGGAGAGCGGCGCGAGCAGGGTGCGCACAAGGTCGCCCAGTCATCAAAACATTACCGAGTTCTTCACCCGCCACCCACCACAGCCGGCCCAAGTCAGTGATAGTAATAATGATAGTGAGGATATGGACTTATATGGATTTTGAGGGGTTTGACAAAGAGGCCCTGCAAGCCTGTGGTGGATAGTGATACAATTGATACAAGTGATACAGGTGAGGGCCAATAATCTGCCCTCTGCCTCGGAACCAACCCCACATCCCCGTGTGCACAGCCATCTTTTCTACTAATGTAAGTGTTAAAAAACCGAATATTATGATATTTCTCTTAATTATTAATTGTGTGTGCATACCGTCATAAAATTAAGAAGTTATTTTTACTACAACGTAGGTATTGTGTCTGAAAAAGTGGAGTTTGGGGGTCGGTCCGGTCTCTATTTCAATTAATCCCATATGTTATGTTGTTCACTTTATGCGTTTCTCACTTTACGCGGGCCACCGTGGGTTCAATTGACCGCGTAAAGTGAGGGTTCACTGTATTGTACAGGAATGATTATTCCACAAATTTTATAGTTTCATTACTTGTAAATGGCAACATGTCATATCCATGCTACGTATATTATTCCTCATTATCTATCGTTTAGAATATTCCTCATTTAGTGATAATTTTGCTTAATGTTAGGTTTTCAGGAACGCATCCCCGTCATTAAACCAAGAATACCTATGTTGGTAATTGGAGTCTCTTGTTGGTGTACATGCCAAAGAGAATTAGAACTTTAAAAAATATTATTTACTTTTACCATATTTTCCACCTTCTACAAAACTTTTTTCCCTAAAAAATGTATCCAAAAACTCACTCTGCATCACACATAAAGAAGGTTACCCCTAGGGTTGGAAAACTCTCATGCTAATTTACAGTATAAGCTCTCAACTAATTGAGCTCAATTAATTGTTATACATACAGTTTTACCCCGCCTAACGCGGTTTCACTTAACGCGTTTTCGCATATACGCGGTGCCTTGCCAAAGCTGAACTTTCACTTAACGCGGATTTTTTCCACATATACGCGGTGAGTGTCCGAGACGCTATTTTTAGATTTGCCCCACCCGCCACCCTGCCTGACTGCCTGTTTTAGCTCATAAAATTCATACAAATTACCAGGCCAGAATATAATTTACATTGCTGGAATTCTTATAATTTGGTGATCATTTTGAATATAAACATCATATATTTTGCTTTAAACTTACAATTTTTAGATAAAAAATTTTTCTCTAGGTAACTATGGTATCTTTTGTGCAAAATATATGACATTTATATTCAAAATATTCCTGGTCTTACAAGGAATCCAGCAATGTCAATTATATTATCCTAACTTTAGTTTGAGGTATTATTTATTAAAATTTAGTGGTTATCCCACACATCTCCTTGGGACGGTTGGTGGGGGGTGGGGGGGAGGGAGGGACCAACCGACCATCTGTTACCCTGTGAAGAATTATTATTTTTTTTTATTAACTGAAGATATTTGTTTTAGCTCATAAAATTCATACAAATTACCCGGTCAGAATATAATTTACATTGCTGGAATTCTTATAATTTGGTGATCATTTTGAATATAAACATCATATATTTTGCTTTAAACTTACAATTTTTAGATAAAAATTTTTCTCTAGGTAACTATGGTATCTTTTGTGCAAAAATATATGACATTTATATTCAAAATATTCCTGGTCTTACAAGGAATCCAGCAATGTCAATTATATTATCCTAACTTTAATCTGAGGTATTATTTAATACTAAATGTTAAAAACTCTGGAAGGGAGGATTGGTGGGGGGTGGGGGGGAGGGTTGGGACTGACCGCGCGGTTGGAAGAGGGGGGGAGGCAAGGTGGGGTACTTTGATTGACAGATAGTGTCGTGAAGATTATTTTTTTTTTATTAACTGAAGATATTTGTTTTAGCTCATAAAATTCATACAAATTACCCGGTCAGAATATAATTTACATTGCTGGAATTCTTATAATTTGGTGATCATTTTGAATATAAACATCATATATTTTGCTTTAAACTTACAATTTTTAGATAAAAATTTTTCTCTAGGTAACTATGTTATCTTTTGTCAAAATATATGACATTTATATTCAAAATATTCCTGGTCTTACAAGGAATCCAGCAATGTCAATTATATTTTCCTAACTTTAGTTTGAGGTTATCCCACACATCTCCTTGGGACGGTTGGTGGGGGGTGGGGGGGGGAGGGAGGGACCGACCGACCATCTGTTAGCCGGCTGTGTAGTGTGAGAGGGGGAGGGAGTTGAGTCCATTATTTGAATGGACATTAACTTGGCGACTGTATTTCTCTATTTCTCTTAAGTATTAATTGTGTGCATGTACCATCATAAAATTAAGATGTTATTTTTACTACAACATAGGTATGTGCCTTCAAAAAGTGGAGTTTGGGGGTCGGGCCGGTTTCTATTGGAATTAATCCCATATGTTCTGTTGTTCACTTAACGCGGATTTCACTTAACGCGGGACCCTCTGGGTTCAATTGACCGCGTTAAGTGGGGTACAACTGTATGTACAATTTCTGCCATGTGTACACATAGTTAAGGGGTTCACAGTAGATAAATACAAATTTGCCCTTTTGTCCTCAATGTCAGTGTTCTCTGACTACATAAAATTCCAGGATATAAACTCATACCTTCATGTAGGCAGCAACAGCCTGCTGTGACATTCCAACACTGGTAAACATGTCTGCAATGGAGGCCAAGAGAGTAGAGTTGTCTGGTAAAGAGCGAACAAGTGACTCCAAAGCCTCAAAATCTTCAAGCTGATAATAACACAGAGCCAACATCTCATGGTTATGGGCTGATTCAAATTGCTTCACTGCATCATCCCTGAAATTTAAGATCCTTTTAAAAATGGAGATGTGATCCTGAAATTCGTTTTTGTGACCAAGTTTGGATGGAATATAGTCAGCACATCTGTGGGATGAAAACTCTAGACTGCAGGGTCCCAAAGTGTGACTGGAATATTAAAATTAAATAAACTAACAAATGTGATTATTGTACTGTATCATCCACCTTCATACTGGGTCCCATGGGCAAGAAAGTACAGTTGAACCTCGATTTACGCGGTTCTCGTTTACGCGTTTGGTCATTTACCCGGTACCTTGCCAGAACCGGGATGCCCGATTTACGCGGTGAATTTACTCATTTACGCGGGTGAAGTATAATTTGTTAATTTACTGAAGATATTTGTTTTAGCTCATAAAATTCATACAAATTACCCGGCCAGAATACAATTTACATTGCTGGAATTCTTATAAGATTGTGATTAATTTAAAAATAAATATCATGGAATTTGCATTAGACATACAAATTTTAGATCTAATGTAAGAATTTTGATTACAATGAGCCAAAATTTTATCTTTTGTGCAAAATATATGACGTTTATATTCAAAATATTCCTGGTCTTGCAAGGAATCCAGCAATGTCAATTATATTATCCTAACTTTAGTCTGAGGTATTATTTATTACTATACCTTAAAATCTAGGGTTTTCACCCAAACATTTCTCAGAGAGGGAGGAGCCAGCGAGCGTGGGAAGAGGGGAGGGGAGGGAGAGTCGAGTCCATTATTTGAATGGACATTAACCTGGCGACTGTATTTTTCTTAAATATTAATTGTGTGTGCATACCATCATAAAATTAAGATGTTATTTTTACTACAACATAGGTATTGTGTCGGTATTGTGTCGGAAAAAGTGGAGTTTGGGGGTCGGCCCAGTCTCTATTTCAATTAATCCCATATGTTCTGTTATTCCATTTACGCGTTTCTCGTTTTACGTGCTACTCAGCAGGTTCAATTGACCGTGTAAATCGGGGGACCACTGTACTCGTAAAATGGGATAAGACTTAAGAGTTTCTCTGTTAAGCATAATGAGAAATGCTTAGATCAGTTCACTTGTTAGTTGACCTAAGTTAAAAATGTCTAATACCTCATTAACTGCCCCAGATCCGGCTCATCTCAATAACCCAAAGACATGAGGGAGGGAAGCAGAGTTGTCTGGTTCACAGTTGGTTATAAAATATTTCTTTCTGAGATTTCTTGTTTAGGTAGCAGGCAGCTATCAAACAGGGAGGTACTACCACCTGGGAAGTTATTGGAAGCATAATGTGTTGTCTAATGGTAGACCATGCTGCCATATGGCATCACAAATATTGTGACCAAGTCCCAGGTTGCTGATCTGACTTTCTGCCTCATTTACACACAATTGCAGGATCTCAATTGTTTCTCTTACTTTGATAACACAACATAGTACATACTGCACATCCTTTCTCACTATTGATCTTTTTTTATATTTTATTTTTCTTTTCTATGCTATTTTATTATTATTATTATTATTATTATTATTATTATTATTATTATTATCATTATTATTATTATTATTATTATTATTATTATTTATTTTTTTAATAGATTTTATTAGTTAATATTATTATTATTATATTTTTCCCCCGCCCCCCGCCAGGCCCTGATGTGGGTCATAAACCCGTGCCCGGGTGGGTTAATCCCCTTATATAAAAAAAGTGGATATACTTTGAGACCCTGGTATGAAACTGAATACTGTATGTTAAATTTTTAGGCTCCAGTTACAAACTGGGACCTTAGGGTCTAGGTTTTACAACCTGCATACTTGCTGGCTAAAAAAAGTTGCTTCGTTCATATGTACAGTGAGTTCTGCTATAACGCGTGTTTTGATAACGCGAATTTGCTCTAACGCGATTTATGAATTAGGAACGATATTTGTATAACGCGAACGCTTGTTTGCTATAACGCGATTTTTGCTTACTATTTCTCCAATTTTGTGGTATTAACTGTGAATATGGTAAAGAAGAATATCTCCAAGAAGCGTTCTGGTGATAGAATTCCCGGTGATGATCGTAAAAGAAAGGATATAACACTTGAAGAGAAGCTCGATGTTATCAACCTCAAAATCACCCTTCTCCCCCATCAAGTTACATTCATATTTTTTCAAGATAAAGTGTTACATTTACTGTATGATTTCATTATTAGATATGAATGTAACATTTATTTAGACTGTGCTATCCTTTGTGTTAGGCTAACTACTAAATTTTTTCGATTTCGAGTAATCTGCACCTAACCCTATTTTCTCCATAAGTCCTGTTATTTCTATTGCGCGATTTTCTATAACACGATATTTTACAAGAACACAATTATCGCGTTATAGCAGAACTACCTGTATGGGAAAAAAGTATAACTATAAGTATTTGCATCTAATTAAGGAATGCTTACTTCTATTCTAACCATTTTTCTTCTTTTTGGCATAAATTGTATAAATGATACATACCATTTATGTCTATCAGCATAATAGTGGCCAATATTATTCAGTGCTTCTTCCATTTGCACATCATCGCCAGTTGAACCAGATTTCAGGAGTTGAACAACTCTGAACCAATCCCCTAATTTGCGACGGAGAGATATGGCAACATCCCTACAAATCAGAAAATAATTATTTGTCATGTAATACAGTAAGATGAAAATTGGAAAATTATGAAAATATTCAGAAAAATTCCTGTGGAAAGCTCTTGGTTACGGCTATCTGCTGACATATTTTGATTGAGTAATTCATAATATCTATGTAGCTATGCATGATTGTTCTACCCCCCTTCATTTAGAGGGCCCTTCTCTTTACGCAGCAAAAGCTGTAGGAAAATATTTACTGTATAATAATATTTTGGTGTAAAGTAATACCAATTACTTGGTAAAAATCAGTATCTGGCACCTTTATCAGCTAGCTAGCAGCAGAACCAGAGTCTGAGGCTGCTTGTGTTGCAGTTATCCATAAAAGAAGCCAGGGTGAGGTTTGACCGGGTGTTGTTCTCGCGCCACCCTTCTTGGGGGCCCATATATCAAAATGAGTGTTTCTAACCTTCAAATCCCTAAAGCTCGGCCATTTATGAGCCGATTCTAATAAAACAAAAACTAAGTAATGGAATAACATACCGGTAGATCATACAAATAATTATCGAAATAATAATTCCACAAATAAATACATTTATAACATAATCAAAGCATTATCATCTAGTAATACTAAACTAAAATAAAACTACACAACTTTTAGAAATATTACTTTGATACAACATGATAAAATAGATAAACAATGAAAATAAACAAACAAAGGCAAACAATGAAAATAATCAAACAAAAGAAGTTATTTACCAAGAAGCTTCCCTCTGACTGTGTGTAAGAGGGAGGGAGATAAGAGGGCTTTTTTTTAGCTTGTCTCTGTGTCCGAGGTGGCCAATAATGCATACTGTATATTTACTGATGATAATACTTATCTCCTATAAATAACTAATTTAAAATTTATTTTCTTGCATTATTTTTCATAAAAAGTGCTTGGCGACGCACAGCAGACTGTCACCAGCTCTCTGGCTGTCTTTGTGTTAGGTGTAGCAAGTAATACATAAAATAATAATAATTCCACAAATAAATACATTTATAACATAATCATAGCATTCTTTTCCAGTAATACTACACTACAATACAACTACAATACTTTTAACAATATTACTTTGATACAACATGATAAAATGGACAAACAATTAAAATTAAACATTCAAAAGTTGATAATATGTTCAGGAAGATTCCCTGTGGCCGAGGTGTGGCGTGACAGGCAAATAGTCACATGGAACCTGATAACCCGCGCTGGGCATTTAAAGTGGCGAGAAAAGGCACGCGTTCTGGAACGTCACCCGGGGCCTAAGGGTTAAATGTACTTTATCTTTAAAATTCAGCAAAACCTCATTAATCCAAAGGCAGATGATTCAGATGACACTTAATCTGGATCACGTGGTGAGCAATGCGTTGATTCCTGGTTCTTCTGATTCTTTCCATTCTGGTTCAAGTGTTAGTGGTGTGTCAGATCTAAGTGCTATCCCTACACCTTCACCTGAACCGCTCAACACATTTTACAAACTGATGAAGAACTATAAGTGATTAAGTGCAGATCTTTTTTGATAGTGATTCAAAATTAGTGAACTGTATAAATGATTTAGTAGCAAAGTACTGTAGTATATGATAGTATTAAAACAGCTGCCCCTCACTGCCTCACTCTACCTTTAAGAGCCAGAAGCTTTATGGAATTAAAGATAAGCATTTATTTAAATAAATAATCACTGATCTAAATAATTACCTTTATTTGTGTTTTACAGGTTACTTTAGTTTTGTTTTTCATAACAACTGTTAATTTACCATTTATTTCTATCTGGCAGGATTTTGTGCTAGAAATTTGCAATAATCCCGAGATTTTGCTAATCCAGATCACCTTTCCCCCCAATTAATCCAATTTAATTAGGTTTCACTGTACTAAGGATATACCTGAGCAACACAGATTTTCAGAAAGAAACAACATTCAAAACATTCTCTCTTTCTCTAATATTAAAAGTAGGTTCTTTGAATTTTTTTTATTTATCTCTCAACATCTCTTCTTTTAACTTACTGTACTTCCAAGTTCTGTATTGTACAGTCTCGTTCAAGATTCTTCAAACACTGCTGGAGACAGCTGGCAATTCAAGGCAGTTTGTTTACTATAGTACGTAGTACAGTATAATATACTGTAATGCGAAACAACAAAGCCCAACCATTAATTAAGCAACAGGGAACTAAGTCACCAATCACTGATAACCTTTTACATTCATTCATAATTTTTACTACGTACTATAGTAAACAAACAGCCTTGAGTTGCCAGGTGTCTTCAGCAGGGTTCGAAGAATATTGAACGAGACTGTACTATTTACCTTACCTTCGATCAACCTCCAGATAGAGTTTTTCTGCTTCATCAAAATCTTTAAAATATGCCGCTACTTCTGCTTTACGTAGAGTTTCATTTTGGATGTTGGATATACGTTTAACCAATTGTATTCCTGGATAATCCTTGCATCGGACGAAGGCTGCTTCTGCATTCTTCAGATCTTGCTTTTCTAGCGCTGCTTCAGCAAGTAAACGCCTTTGAAAATAATAAAAATATTAACAATTGTGGTGAACTAATCCCCAAAAACATGCAATTCTAACATTACCAATATTCAAGATTTTATGAAGTATTTGACACATTATCCTGTCTATATACAGTTAACCCTCACTTTACGCGGTTAATGTAACCCGGAGGGTACCGCGGAAAGTGAGGAACGCGTAAAGTGAATAACATAACATATGGGATTAATTGAAATGGAGTCCGGGCCGATCCCCAAACTCAACTTTATGACGACACACAACTGTGTTGTAGTAAAAATTTTATCTTAACTTTATGATGGTATGAAAAAACAAGTAATATAGAAGAGGTTAGGTTAGGAAAGATAAAGGTTAACATAGGAAAAATAAAGGTAAGGTTAGAAAACTAAAAATTAGGTGTAACACTTACGGTAGTAGAAGAGATGGGTCGGCATACGGGGATGGAGGCTGGTTCCAAGGCAGAGGGCAGATTACTGGCCCTCAGGTGAATCACCATTACTAGGTGAATCACCATCACTGTCACTTACAGCTGTCAGGGCTTCCCTGACAAATCCCTCAAAGTCACCTTCACTGTCACTATCACTGGCTTGGGCTGGCTGTGGTGGGTTGCGGGCGAAGAAATCTGTTATGCTTTGCTGACGGCTGGCGTTGATGTTGTCGTGATACACCTTGATGTACGGCTCCATAGCCTGCACCAGCCGGGTATGGAAGACTTCATAGCGGTCATCGTCATTGTCGCGGGAAAGGAAGGACTTCATCTTCTCTGCACACTCCATGGCACCCTTAATATCACTATGACTTAAACTGTGTTCTTCGGAGACTGACGCACCTTCTTCCTCCTCTTCACTGACGTGTTCTTCTTCCAACATCTCGTCGGCAGTCACTTCAGGATCTCTGATCACCTCCAGGATGTCGTCGTTGGTGGTCTCGGAGAAGCCTGGAACTGTAACAGTCTGCGCAGCTTCTCTGGCAAGGTCCACTGCTACTGCAACATTCTGAACCTCACCAGTCACAGATTGACTCCTCCTCTCACCTGGTATTCCATGCAACACATGTCTCCATGCGTGACGAATTGTAGCAATAGACAGCTGATCCCATGACTCCACCAAGAAGTCCACAGCTTTCTTGATGTTAAATACTCTCCAGAATTGTTTGAAGAGTATTTTTTGCTGTTCTAACTGTTGATCCTCATCTTCTTCGCTCTTGCTATCGGTGGTGGTGTCACTCAGGTTACGCAACTCTTCCCTGGTGTTGGTGTAGTCGTTCAGGAGCTGGAATTTTTTTTGTTGAGAATGCAGCTTTCACATTGCAAATCAACTCCTGGTCCATGGGCTGGATTAAAGACGTAGTGTTGGGAGGAAGGAAGACCACTTTTACGTTGGGGTGACGATCTAACAGTAGGGGCGAGTGTCCTGGTGCGTTGTCCAGCAGCAACAAAATATTAAATGGGACATTCTGTCGCTCACAGAATTTCTTTACATCGGGAACAAAACAGTCATCAAACCAGGAGAGGGACAGTGTAGAGAACATCCATGCCTTACGTGCGGTCAGCCAGTGGACATTTAGCTTGGTCATGTCCATGCTCTTGTAGGCGTGCGGCTTGCGGGCTGTGTGGATCACCGATAACTTGAGCTTACAGGTACCGGAGGCATTGGTGGTAAACAGGAAGGTGATGCGTTCCTTCTGCATTTTCCGGCCCCGAATCCTGCTGGCATTCTTCACAACGAAGGACTTGGAAGGTAGTTTTTTCCAGAAAAGACCAGATTCGTCCATGTTAAACACCTGGTCGTCACTGTACTGTCCTTCCTCCATAATCTCACGTAAAAACGGAGGAAATTCCCGAGCCGCAGCACGATCAGCACTCGCTTCTTCACCACCAATGTTTATATTGGTGATCTTGTTCCGGATCTTAAACCTCTGTAACCACCCAGAGGAAGCATTAAAGGGTTTGGGCTCTGAAGTTCCCATCTTTCGTGCCACTGCCATGTACAGTTCACGTGCGTAGTCCTTAACAGAGCGCGTGTCGACCGCCATGTTCCGTCGCGCCTGACGCACCAAGTACCTCACAAGTAATTTTTCTGTCTTGAGAAGCACCTGGTTGTAAAAATACTTGATCATAGAAGCATCCTGTAGACTTTGTGATCTTCATGTGCTCCTTTATCTTGGCTGAATCCTTCTTTATAGTCCGGATCGTAGATTCGTTCACGCCATGCTGGCGCGCCAAATCAACCTGCCTTGTTCCTTTCTCCAACTCTTGGATGATGCTATACTTCACCTCGTAGCTTAAGGAACGTCGTGTCTTCTTTGGTTTAGTGCCGCTGGGTCCAGGTAAGGAAAGGTTTCTCTCTGGGGGTGGTGGTCCGACGGAAGCCATTTTACGGAACAATGGATGCGCGTTTACACGGAATGGCCTTGAGGGATGAAACTGCCGCGGCTAGGTCAAGCGTCGTCTTTCCTCCCTCCCTCCCTCCCCCGGGTGGACACGTCATAATATTTTAAGCCAATTACAGCTAGCAGCAGAGGGGGGTAGGGATGCATGGCCAATCACAGGTCTGATACGTCATATGACGTCAGTGATAACGCAACAAAGACACACACTGCGCAACCTTACCGCGCCGCTTGCCCAAGCGGAGGGAGGAGGAGGGAGAGGCAGGCAGGCAGGCGGGCAGGCGGGTGGGGCGAATCTAAAAATAGCGTCGCGCCGGACACTCTCCGCGTAATGGGGTTCACGCACCGCGTAATGTGAGCACGTTAGGTTCTGGCAAGGCACCGCGTTAACGTGGAAACGCGGAATGTGGGACCGCGTAAAGTGAGGGTTGACTGTACTATTATTGATATGAAAATTGTCTTAATATGCCTTATCGTGGGTAAAAATAAGTATGTATTAAATGCATCCTCCGAAAGCGTGAATTTGCTACCCGAGTTCATCAGGTATTTCACGTATAATGCTTCTGATAAACTTCCTACATGCTCCTGTTTGAAATACAGTGGGGTATGCTATAACGAACGTAATTGGTTCCAGAACCTCGTTCGTTATAGCATTCGTTCATTATAGGATTAATCCGTTCCAGGCCCCCAAATACAACCGCTTAACGCTGAAAAAATTCTGTGGAAAATGTAAAAAATACGGTACTTTATCTTACCTTAGTGTTATTCAGCATGCAGGTAACCCTAAACACTGGCACGTCACTATCACTTCCACTGGGAGTCTTGGCTTTAAGGTCCTCAAACAATTGTTTAGCCTTCTCACAAATTATAGCTTCACTAATGTTACCACCTGCCATTTCTTTCTCCTTTATCCACACTAAGAATAAATTTTCCATCTCTTCAATCACATTACACCTTGCTTTGCTAAGTCTAAAGATTCCCTTAGCCACTTGCACAGTTTTTAACTCCTCTTTATTCTTCAAAATTGTACATATAGTCGATTTAGCCATCCCATATTCATCACTAAGTTTCGCAATGCTCCTTCCATTCTCACGTTTCTTTATAATTTCTTTCTTAGTTTCAAGGGTTATTAGCTTTCTCACTCGCTTTGGACGACTCATTGTTACAATTGTATACTTGTATAACAAAATAGTTATACAAATAACGCGAATTTCCACATCAAAAGACGAAATTTCAACAATAACAGTGGTGCACTGGCTACACAATGAGACAAAGATGGCGCCTGACGCTCTTGTTGTGGGTCGCGGTACAACAATATTCATGCGCCAGGCGAAATAGTCCGGTATTCATCCGCGTTCGTTGTAGGAGTTGCAATCGTTATAGCATTCTCAATTTTATAGGTAAAACCGTTCGTTATAGGAATATTCGTAGTAGGATCCGTTCGTTATAGCATACCCCACTGTAATGAAGTTATGTATTTTTCTATAATTTAGTTAAATATCTTTCTCATCAGAAAAGGTCATTATGAATAAACTCATTTAGAAATACATCATTACTCAGGACAAAATCGGACAGGTTTGCAACAGTCAATCAGCTGTAACTCTTCAGGAGGGGGCAGGGCATTTTTTCTCAGCTGAAAAAAAAATGCACGAAAGCAACAAAATCTTCCCCATTACTTTCACCACCACGTTTAGTCTTCAAGTCAGCATGCAAGCTTCTCGCTTTTTCCTGAATCAAGGTTAGACTTAGAGACAAAGGCCATTGATTTTGATCTTTCACCCATATCACAAACAATCTTTCCATTTCAATTAAAAATTAACTTTTTTTGTTTTCTTATCACAGTTGAGTGCATTGGTGTAGATCCTTTTACATGTTCAAGAATTTTCTGTTTGTTTATCAAAATTGTTCCAACCACTGACCTACTGAAACCCAACGTTTTACCAAGACTAAGGGTGTTTCGCCCTTTTCAGAATGTTTAATTACATCAACTTTCACTTCCATTGTAATTGTTTTGCTTTTCTTGGATGCACTACTATCATTTGCATCAGGTTTACATTTGGGAGCCATGATAAGGGCATAAAAAGAGAGTTAACAAGCAAAAACAACAGTTTGCACCTGATCACGCACATTAATGCGGTGAGGGTAAAGTGTACGGACGCTACCTCAAGGCGTGTGGTTGGGTGATGCATCACTCCCACCGTGCCACTCCCCCTCGGCTCTATGCCATGCAAACTAGTTCTTGTGCAGAAACACTATGAACCCGTTGTACTTATGTTGGAGTCTTAAAATAATTGTCCTTATGGGACCTCATTCATATTGGCGGGTGCTCATAAGTTGGACATTCGTAAGTCAGGGATCCCTTGTATGCATTTATCTACAGGAGATAATGTTAAGTGCCTATGATCATCCCACTCTAAAAGGTTATTCAGCTTTTTATTCTCCTTAAAACTCAGAACAGATGCAACATGGTGGCACAGCCATCCTTGTCTCAGACAAGTGTGGTGTATCCTATAGCCCATTATCCATCACTTCACTGTTGCAGGCAACAGATTGCAAGATTCACCTTCAACATACCTACAGTATACTGTATGATCAGAGCATGGTTTTAGATTTTCTCCCTTGAAGACTGTTCCCATCCATTTCTGCCACCTTCGAGGTGTTCCCCCAGATTCCAATCTACAGCTCTATGGTAGTCGTGTGCAGTGTGTCACAGATACACATTTCCTCGGCATTATCTTTGACAGCCGACTTACTTAGCAGCCACATTTTCATTTCCTCAAAGAGTCTTGCCAGCGTGCTCTCAAGTTATTGAGAGCCTTGGGGCACACATTTCGGGGTGGTGACCGAGGAACTCTGCTACACTTTCACCACATGTTAGTTAGATCCAAACTGGATTATGAGTGTGAGGTGTACTCCTCAGCCACTGAGGCTAGACTCAATACACTGAACTCTATTCATCATGCTGGGGTGCGCCTGGCGACCGGTACCTTCAGGTCCTCGCCAATCCCGAGTCTGCTAGTTGATGTTGATGAGCCACCCCTTGATCTTCAATGTCAGTATCTCCAGCCCAGTGTTGGTTATGCCTTCACTGCCTTTCTCAGTTTGCAACCAACACTTGTATAGTTGACAAGACTATGTCCCCACACTACACTCAGCATCCAAGCCTCTCACGACCTTTCAGCTTCAGGGTAAGGGAGGTTGTGAGTCTTCTTCGTCTTCCTCCTGTTCATACATGCTTCTCTTACCTAGTGCCACTCCATGCATTCTCCTCTCACAGAGGGGCTATCTCTGTATACACTGATGGCTCTTAAGTCGGATGCAGGGGTGGCTTTTGGGGTGGTCTTTCTCGACTTTTTTGGGACGGTAGTCTCCCCACTATGTCATCTATTTTTAGGGCAGAGCTTTCAGGTATTTTACTTGTCCTCAAGATTATTTTTACCCAACCTCACAGCGATTTTAACATTTTTAGCAATTCTCGCCAAGATCTCCAGGCCTTAGCTAGTGTGTCATCGCCACACCCCTTAGTTATAGATATTTTACAGTGGCTGTTTCATATCCAATGTCAAGGCCGGAAAGTCAGTTTTTGCTGGGTTCTGACCCATGTGGGGGAGAAGGGGAATGAGTGTGCTGATGCTGTGGCAAAAGCAGCTGTAGTACATCATTCCCCTCTACCTGCCTCTGATATGAAACCAATAATAAGAGCTGCCATCCACTGATGTTGGCAATGCAGATGGGATACTGTCAGAGCACACAAGCTCCAAGACACCCACCCAGTATTGGGTGCCTGGGGATATTAGGGACTGTTGCACTGCTGGAAGACTGCTTTGACCCCCCTCCATATTGGCCACACAAGACTTACTCCTGTTTTTTTAATGGAGAGGGTACCCCCTCACTATTGTGATGACTGTCTGGTCCCATTGACTGTTCGACACTACCTGGTGGAGTGTACCATTCTCAGATATCTTCAACGTAAACTTTTCTCCCAGTACCAGGGGAGACTGGTCTTACCATCTCTTTTTGGTGCATGGGGAGGGAGTGGGTAGCATGGGAGGGGACGTCCTCTCCTTCTTGGAGGGAGCCGGCCTTCTCTACAAGCATTTTTATCTATTCACATTTAAATGATTTTTACAAAACTTTAATGATACTTATTATTTACATTTTTTACCTTACATTATTTGATATTATTCTTCTAAGCTTTTATTTTAATAAGGTAACATATGACTTAAGCTGTTGCATTGTCAGGGATGTATTTACCACAATCAATCAATCATTATTAACCTGGTACCAAATAAATGTAAATAATGTAAGAATTATGGTGAAATAACATAATATCGTTTTAACGGGATCAAGGGTGGAGTTGTCCAGCCACCTACTCACACATAATTGACTTCCCACTCTTAAATTTTCTTATTATATAGTTACCTTATTTGCCGGCGTATAAGACGCATTTATTTATTTTTTTAAATGTATCACAAATGACCCTGCATCTAATGTGCCGGTATTACGGATGGGAGGCCAAGCGCCGCAGGCGGAGGTGCCTAGCTAGGGAGTCTGGGACGAGCAGTAGTCCACTAAGCACAAAAATTGTGTTACTAATAATATTACGAATTATAAAATACGGAAAAACAAGCCAAATTATCACAAACTTACGGCAAATTTGCCGAAGACGTAAATAATGGCATACATTGGCTTAACGGCAGAGGTAAGCTCACAACATCTCACTGCGCCTCCTTCCCCAGCATACATAACCCACACCAGATACATGCCCCTAGAAAGATTAAAGAAATGTTAACAGAAAGTTCAGCTGCCAGTCAGCCATTTGCAATGAGTCAATGACGCCAAAACAATAGCGATGGTGCTACACCCTGGTGGTAGATCCCGGCAACACAAAACATCACAGCCAAAAATACGAGTTTCACATCCTGTCGGTAATTCTCTTGACCAAAATATAAACAAGCCACATAGCTGCTCTGATCAGAGGTAGAGTTGGGTTAGTATAATGTTACTATATACAAGGTCTGTCCAAAAAGAAACCAAACTTATTAAATAGCGCGCCAACCTAGTCGGCGCAGCGTGCTCGCGATGGGAGTACTGTGTAGCGGTGACCTTGACCTTTAGTCTAACATTAGCCGCATCACGCGCTACACGTGCTAGAGTGAACGTGTGTTTAGTGCACTTGGCGATTTGTTGCAAGTTGAACAATGAAAGATCTTGAAGAGCAACGTGTTTGTGTAAAATTCTGTATCAAATTGGGAAAAACTTTTAAGGAGACTTTTCAAATGTTGCAACAGGCTTATGGGGAAGATTGTTTGAGCCGTACGCAATGTCACGTGTGGTATCAGCATTCAAAAGAGGAAGAACATCCATTGAAGACGATCCCAAATCTGGACATCAGAGTTGCTCAAATGTGGAGATGATGTTGATCGTCTTTTTTGATTGGAAGGGCATCGTTCATCATGAGTTTGTTCCACGTGGTCAGACAGTCAATAAAGAGTTTTAATTGGAGGTCCTAAAGCGTTTGAGGGAGGCAGTGCGAAGGAAGAGGCCTGAGGCGTGGACAAACAAGACCTGGATGCTGCACCATGACAGTGCACCTGCTCACACGTCGCTCCTTATCCGTGAATTTTTGGCGGAACACGAGACGACATCGTCCCCCAGACGCCCTACTCTCCTGATTTGGCCCCTGCGGACTTATTTTTCTCCAAAAGTTGAAATCCATCCTGAAAGGTCGCTGATTTCAAACGATAGAAGGGATAGAAGAAAATTCACTACGAGACCTACACACCATCCCTCAAAACGCGTTCCAGAACTGGAAAAAAACGTTGGGAGCGGTGTATCAACAGTGGAGGGGAGTACTTTGAAGGAGACAAGTCTGATTAAGTTGTAAGTAAAGCAATAATTTTGTTTTTTAAAAAGTTCGGTTTCTTTTTGGATAGACCTCATATGATTTCCTACTTGACTCCAGTGTATATTGTATTTACACGCACAAAATGATATGTTTTCCCCTACAAGACCACTTTAAAATCACTTTCAATAAATCTATGATGAAATGTACCAAAAAAAAAATACACAAAATATCCTTGTAAAATAGGGGTGCGTCTTATGCAGTGGAGCATCTTATATGCCGGCAAATACGGTAATTTTAATAATTTGTAAGTCGTATTACAGCATTGTAATGATATTTCGATAAATTTTATGGTTTCTCATGTAACAATGGTACTTGTACAGCTAAGAAGCACACGTGTTATGGTGACTGCTAGACTTGATATTCCTTCACACACATTATACCCCTATACTCATATTTTTCTTTTCTTATATCATTATATTACTGTACAGGTATACAGTATTTCCTTTATTCATAGGGCACACTAGAACATTGTAACGACTTTTCCACAAATTCTGTGGTTACGAAACACATAACAATGGCATGAGCTATCAGTCATGTGAGAGGTGACTGACATATATTGGCATGGTAGAAACCTAACACTTGTAGAACACTTATACTGTATTACTTATTATGGTTATTTTTATATTATATTATGTGTTTTTGACACTTTTAACACAGAGACTTAGTATAAAACAATGGACGATGCAAACAAAGTGTATGTGAAACTATTGATGTGTAATGGAAATTTCTTCCTATATTTGTTAGCAACATATATGTGAAATGACATATAGTACATCGGTAAAACATATAATGAGGACCCTCTGTATAAAATTATTCATTACCAAAGTCTTGGGTGAGGATTCTCATCAATGAAGGCTGCAGCATCTTTAATTGAAACTTTCTCCAGAAGATCACGAGTATCTCGTAAACTCTTAACTTCTAAATGGAGCAAATGGTCTGTGGTGGGTGACTCAGGCTCGCGCATCACTTCATCCAGGAGAACTGCACGAATCTCAAGATCCTATAAATAAGAAATTCACAAACACACATAAATAACAGCTAAACATTTAAATGATTAGTAGGGGAATAAGGGATACTGGTACTTCTTATTTTTAGTACAATAGAGTCTCAGAGTATGTGTGGGTTACATTCCTGGGATCCCTGTGTAAGTGCAAATTTGCATACATTTGGGTTCCCATATATATATATATATATATATATATATATATATATATATATATATATATATATATATATATATATATATATATATATACAGTTTTACCCCGCCTAACGCGGTTTCACTTAACGCGTTTTCGCATATACGCAGTGCCTTGCCAAAGCTGAACTTTCACTTAACGCGGATTTTTTCTACATATACGCGGTGAGTGTCCGGCTCGGATGCTATTTTTAGATTTTGCCCACGCGCCACGCGCCACCCGCCCGCCCGCCTGCCTGCCTCTCCCTCCTCCTCCCTCCGCTTGGGCAAGCGGCGCGGTAAGGTTGCGCAGTGTGTGTCTTTGTTGCGTTATCACTGACGTCATATGACGTCTCGGACTGTGATTGGCCATGCAGCCCTACCCCCCTCTGCTGCTAGCTGTAATTGGCTTAAAGTATTATGACGTGACTACCCCGGGGAGGGAGGGAGGGAGGAGAGACGACGCTTGACCTAGCCGCGGCAGTTTCATCCCTCAAGGCCACCCCGGGTTAACGCGCATCCATTGTTCCGTAAAATGGCTTCCGCCGGACCACCACCGCCCCCAGAGAGAGACCTTTCCTCACCTGGACCCAGCGGCACTAAACCAAAGAAGACACGACGTTCATTAAGCTACGAGGTGAAGTACCAAATTGTTCAAGATTTGGAGAAAGGAAGACGCCAAGTTGATCTCGCGCGCCAGCATGGCGTCAACGAATCTACGATTCGTACAATCAAGAAGGATGCAGCCAAGATCAAAGACCACATGAAAATCACAAAGTCTGCAGGTGCTTCATCTATCAGGTATTGCCAGAACAGGGTGCTGGCAAAAGTGGAAAATTTGCTGGTGAGTTATTTGGTGCGTCAGGCGCGACGCAACATGGCGGTGGACACGCGCTCAGTGCAGGAGTACGCACGTGAGCTATACGCAGCAGTGACACGTAAACTGGGAATTGCAGAGCCCAAACCCTTCAATGCTTCCTCTGGTTGGCTGCATAGGTTTAAGAAGAGGAACAAGGTCACCAACATCAACATTGGTGGTGAGGAAGCGAGTGCTGACCGTGCGGCGGCTAGAGATTTTCCTCCGTTTTTACGTGAGATTATGGAGGAAGGACAGTACAGTGACGACCAGGTGTTTAACATGGACGAATCTGGTCTTTTCTGGAAAAAGTTACCTTCCAAGACCTTCGTTGTCCAGTCTGCGAGCAAGGTAAGGGGCCGGAAGATGCAGAAGGAACGCATCACCGTCCTGTTTACCACCAATGCCTCCGGTACCTGTAAACCAAAGTTATCGGTGATTCACAAAGCCCGCAAGCCGCACGCCTACAAGAATATGGACATGAACAAGCTTAATGTCCACTGGCTAACCGCACGTAAGGCGTGGATGTCCTCTTCTCTGTCCCTCTTCTGGTTTGACAACTGTTTTGTTCCTGACGTGCAGAAATTCTGCGAGCAACAGAATGTTTCATTCAATATTTTGTTGCTCCTTGACAACGCACCAGGACACTCGCCCCTACTTATGGATCGTCACCCCAACGTAAAAGTGGTCTTCCTTCCTCCCAACACTACGTCATTAATCCAGCCCATGGACCAGGAGTTGATCTGCAATGTGAAAGCTGCGTACTCTGCAAAGAAGTTCAAGCTCCTGAACGACTCTACCAACACCAAGGATGAGTTGCGTAAGCTGGGTGACACCGACAGCGAGAGTAAAAGCGACGAGGACAAGGAACAAGAGGCGGCGACTCAAGAACTTCTCGTCAAACAATTTTGGAAGAAGTTTAACGTTAAACAAGCTGTAGACTTCTTGGTGGAGGCATGGGATCTGCTGACTATTGCTACGATTCGTCACGCATGGAGACATGTGTTGCATGGCATACCAGGTGAGAGGAGGAGTGAACCTGTGACTGGTCAGGTTCAGACTGTTGCAGTAGCAGTGGACCTTGCCAGAGAAGCTGCGCTCAGTATTACAGCTGAAGGCTTCTCCGAGACCACCAACGAAGACATCATGGAGGTGATCAGAGATCCTGAAGTGACTGCCGACGAGATGTTGGAAGAAGAACCCGCCAGTGAAGAGGAGGAAGAAGGTGCGTCATTCTCCGAAGAACCTAGTTTAAGTCATAGTGATATTAAGTGTCTCATAGAGTTTACAGAAAAAATTAAGTCCATCGTTTCCCGCGACAATGACGATGAACGCCATGACGTCTTCCATACCCGACTGGTGCAGGCTATGGAGCCGTACATCAAGGTGTATCACGACAACATCAACACCAGCCGTCAGAAAAGCATAACCGAGTTCTTCGCCCGCAACCCACCACAGCCAGTCCAAGCCAGTGATAGTGAGAGTGAAGTTGATTTTGAGGGATTTGTCAGGGAAGCCATGACAACTGTAAGTGACAGTGATATTGATTCACCTAGTAATGGTGATTCACCTAGTAATGGTGATTCACCTGAGGGGCAGTAATCTGCCCTCTGCCTCGGAACCAGCCTCCATCCCCGTATGCCGACCCATCTCTTCTACTACCGTAAGTGTTCCGCAAAAATTTTCGTTTTTTAACCTATTCTTTATTTTTCCTATGTTAACCTTTATCTTTCCTAACCTAACCTCTTCTATATTACTTGTTTTTCATGCCACCATAAAGTTAAGATAGAATTTTTACTACAACATAGTTATTTGTCGTCAAAAAGTGGAGTTTGGGGGTCGGGCTGGGTTCTATTGGAATTAATCCCATATGTTCTGTTATTCACTTAACGCGGTTTTCACTTAACGCGGGACCCTCTGGGTTCAATTGACCGCGTTAAGTGGGGTACAACTGTATATATATATATATATATATATATATTATATATATATATATATATATATATATATATATATATATATATATATATATATATATATATATATATATATATATATATATATATATATATATATATATATATATATACCGTATATCTCGGCCTATTAGGCGGCGGGGTGCATAAGACGGCCCCCCAAATTTCCATTTAAAAAGTACCTTTTGAGCTCTATTCGCTGTATAAGACCGGTACCTCAAAGTGACACTTACCCACTGACCCAGTAGTCCTTTACCAACCATCCTTGGTTTTTTAAAATAAAGCCAATTCACTTCATGTAATGTCATCAAATGTTACCCGCTGGTGTAGTGTAAACACGAGTGACGTCACTTAAGCGTCTGCTATTTACCGGTAACTGGAACTAATGTCGGTGTCGAGTAAAATTTTTCCATTCACTTGAAATGGATTTACCGATTTATTTGTTTATTTATTTATTTATAATATACTGTAACATATTAAACACACTGCAAGTATTTTCTTTAATTTATACGCTTGCTTCGCACGAGACGATCGGTGGTGGGAGTGTTCCCTCGTCTCGGTGGTGGGACTGTGTTCCGACTGTTTATACAACAGCTACCACCGTATTCTAATTGTGGTGTAAAAGTCCAAAAATCTGGATGCCAGAAATCCGGACCACCCGAGAATCCGGACTTTACGAAAACTTTTAAACTTTTTAAATTTAGCGGGCTTTTGTGGGTTACGTGAATGAATGGCGTTCCTTTAAAAAAATTAATTTACATAATTCTAATGATAAAAGTAATTGTAAATTATAGGTATCTAATTTTGTTAGTTTTGTAATTAGCTTGTCCTGAAATGTAAAATTTGAGGCACTATAAATCCTTTGTGTGTGTGTGTGCATGCGTGAATGCCACAGCTACACAGCGACAACAAGCGACCACGCGATCGCCACTTTAAAACAAGCAATCAAACTGTGACAACATATGTAATTTTGAGTCCTACTCTTTCCATTTACAGAGTACAAGCCCATAATAATGGCTCCTAAAGTAGATAAACTTCGTTGGGTGAAGAGAAAGAACCACACATTGAAATTGAGTGACAAACTTGAAATAATTAAGAAACTAGAACGTGGTGTGAGCAATACTGTTCTAATGGAAACATACGACATTGGAAAGTCTACAATTTATGATATAAAAAAGGCAAAGAATAAAATTCTAGAATTCACAGCTTCTGAGCCTTACATTAAAATTGCTGAAAGAAAAAGTTTACATCGGCCCAAATTAGAAAATCTTGATAAAGTGTTGCAAGAATGGTTTTTGTTAAAACGATCAGAAGGTATGGCAATTTAAGGGATGATGCTTATTTCCAAAGCAAAATCTTTTAAGGAGCAAATAAACATTGAATCAGAAAGCGCATTTAGTGATGGATGGCTTAGGAATTTCAAGACTCGTCATGGTATTAGATAGTTTGTTTACATTTTTGTCAAGTGTTGACTTTATTTTTCTTTAAAACTGCTCGTTTTGATAAATGAAGCATGCTATATTTGCTTATGAATAAACTCTCAAAATCTACCTGTTCATCTCTTCTTTATTCCTCCTTAAATTTGAATTTTAAAAGTACTGCCTGAGAATCCGGAAAATCCGAAAATCCAGACCGACCCAATCCCCAACCAGTCCGGATTTTTGGACTTCTACACATAACTATGTTGTAGTAAAAATAATATCTTAATTTTATGATGGTACATGCACACAATTAATACTTAAGAGAAATAGAGAAATACAGTCGCCAAGTTAATGTCCATTCAAATAATGGACACGACTCCCTCCCCCTCTTCTCACACTACACTGCTGGCTCTTCCCTCTGAGAAATTTTGGGGGAAAACCAGGTATAGTAATAAATAATACCTCAAACTAAAGTTAGGATAATATAATTGACATTGCTGGATTCCTTGTAAGACCAGGAATATTTTGAATATAAATGTCATATATTTTTCACAAAAGATAACATATTTACTCAGATTAAACATTACATCTAAAATTTGTATGTCTAATGCAAAATCTATGATGTTTATATTCAAAATGATCATCAAATTGTAAGAATTCCAGCAATGTAAATTATATTCTGGCCGGGTAATTTGTATGAATTTTATGAGCTAAAACAAATATCTTCAGTTAATAAAAAAAAAAAATATTCTTCACGACACTATCTGTCAATCAAAGTACCCCACCTTGCCTCCCCCCTCTTCCAACCGCGCGGTCAGTCCCAACCCTCCCCCCCACCCCCCACCAATCCTCCCTTCAAGAGAAAGAGTGGGTGAAAAAATTTAATTTTAACATTTAGTATTAAATAATACCTCAGATTAAAGTTAGGATAATATAATTGACATTGCTGGATTCCTTGTAAGACCAGGAATATTTTGAATATAAACGTCATATATTTTGCACAAAAGATAACATACTTACTCAGAGTGAACATTATATCTAAAAATTTTATGTCTAATGCAAAATATATGATGTTTATATTCAAAATGATCATCAAATTGTAAGAATTCCAGCAATGTAAATTATATTCTGGCCGGGTAATTTGTATGAATTTTATGAGCTAAAATAAAAATCTTCAGTTAATAAAAAAATAAATATTCTTCACACGGTAACAGATGGTCGGTCGCCGGTCCCTCCCCCCACCAACGTCCCTACTAGATAAATGTGTGGGAATACCAGACTGTTTACCTTTTTAGTAATAAATAATAAATCAGACTAAGGTTAGGATAATATAATTGACATTGCTGGATTCCTTGTAAGACCAGGAATATTTTGAATATAAATATCATATATTTTGCACAAAAGATAACATATTTACTCAAGAGTAAACATTATATCTAAAATTTGTATGTCTAATGCAAAATCTATGATGTTTATATTCAAAATGATCATGAAATTGTAAGAATTCCAGCAATGTAAATTATATTCTGGCCGGGTAATTTGTATGAATTTTATGAGCTAAAATAAAAATCTTCAGTTAATAAAAAAATAAATATTCTTCACACGGTAACAGATGGTCGGTCGCCGGTCCCTCCCCCCACCAACGTCCCTACTAGATAAATGTGTGGGAATACCAGACTGTTTACCTTTTTAGTAATAAATAATAAATCAGACTAAGGTTAGGATAATATAATTGACATTGCTGGATTCCTTGTAAGACCAGGAATATTTTGAATATAAATATCATATATTTTGCACAAAAGATAACATATTTACTCAAGAGTAAACATTATATCTAAAATTTGTATGTCTAATGCAAAATCTATGATGTTTATATTCAAAATGATCATGAAATTGTAAGAATTCCAGCAATGTAAATTATATTCTGGCCGGATAATTTGTATTAATTTTATGAGCTAAATAAAAAAATTATACTTCACCCGTGTAAAGGGGTACACCCACCACGGAAAGTGAGCATCCTGGGTTCTGGCAGGGCACCGTGTAAACATGGAAACGCGGAATGCGAGACCGCGTAAAGTGAGGGTTAACTGTATATGTATATGTATATGTATATGTATATATATATATATATATATATATATATATATATATATATATATATATATATATATATATATATATATATATATATATATATATATATATATATATATATATATATATATATATATATATATATATACAGTTGTACCCCACTTAACGCGGTCAATAGAACCCAGAGGGTGCCGTGTTAAGTGAAATCCGCGTTAAGTGAACAACAGAACATATGGGATTAATTCCAATAGAAACCGGCCCGACCCCCAAACTCCACTTTTTGAAGGCACATACCTATGTTGTAGTAAAAATAACATCTTAATTTTATGATGGTACAAGCACACAATTAATACTTAAGAGAAATAGAGAAATACAGTCGCCAAGTTAATGTCTATTCAAATAATGGACTCAACTCCCTCCCCCTCTCACACTACACTGCCGGCTCTTCCCTCTCTGAGAAATTTTGGGGGAAAACCACTAAATTTTAATAAATAATACCTCAAACTAAAGTTAGGATAATACAATTGACATTGCTGGATTCCTTGTAAGACCAGGAATATTTTGAATATAAATGTCATATATTTTGCACAAAAGATAACATAGTTACTCTGAGAAAATTTTTTATCTAAAATTTGTATGTCTAATGCAAAATATATGATGTTTATATTCAAAATGATCATCAAATTATAAGAATTCCAGCAATGTAAATTATATTCAGACCGGGTAATTTGTATGAATTTTATGAGCTAAAACAAATATCTTCAGTTAATAAAAAAAAATAATAATTCTTCACGGGGTAACAGATGGTCGGTCGGTCCCTCCCTCCCCCCCACCCCCCACCAACCGTCCCAAGGAGATGTGTGGGATAACCACTAAATTTTAATAAATAATACCTCAAACTAAAGTTAGGATAATATAATTGACATTGCTGGATTCCTTGTAAGACCAGGAATATTTTGAATATAAATGTCATATATTTTGCACAAAAGATAACATAGTTACTCTGAGAAAAATTTTTATCTAAAATTTGTATGTCTAATGCAAAATATATGATGTTTATATTCAAAATGATCACCAAATTATAAGAATTCCAGCAATGTAAATTATATTCTGACCGGGCAATTTGTATGAATTTTATGAGCTAAAACAGGCAGTCAGGCAGGGTGGCGGGTGGGGCAAATCTAAAAATAGCGTCTCGAGCCGGACACTCACCGCGTATATGTGGAAAAAATCCGTGTTAAGTGAAAGTTCAGCTCTGGCAAGGCACCGCGTATATGATAAAACGCGTTAAGTGAAACCGCGTTAGGCGGGGTAATAATGTGTATATATATATATATATATATATATATATATATATATATATATATATATATATATATATATATATATATATATATATATATATATATATATATATATATATATATATATACAGTAATTAATAAATTATTCCAAAGTTCTATGCTTAGGAGTTCCTGAATTTCAATCTGATAGACTTACCAGGATAATAAGAGAGTTTCTTAGGATAACCTAAAGGTTTTAATGGCAATCAAAATGGTATATCCAATCCTCTTAACTGTATCTGTCCCTATACTGGAAATTCTGTAAAATTCATTATCTCAGATTGCATTACTGTGACATTTATTTTACTAAGGCATATTACGATGTTGAAATAAAAATGCTAAATCCCCAAAAGTACCTAACTCTTTGACAAATGTTGTCACATATCACTCATTGTGAGTAATGGTATGAAAAACACAATCTTTGCTCATTAAATGAACAGAATATAAATTACAATACAAAGTGATACTTACCTGAAAGCTGCAAAGATACCCAGAACTGGCCACAGGTTCTTCAGGATCCATGTTGCGAAAAACATACATACGAGTCTTCTCCATCATTGCAAATAATTCTGGGTTGTCTTGAGCCCAGCACATATCCCAAACGTCCTTTCGCTCAAATTTCAGTATGGAACCCATAATCTGCAAGTGAATTTTTATAGGTTGTTTACAGAATATATCAATAACATGTACTGTACAACCATACTAGTTTTACTGTGCACTGGTCAACAAGACATATGTTAAATAAACATTTCATAAAATTACATACAATTCATAGGAGAGTTCAGATACAGGTACACTGATGGTCAGGCACCTCCTTTAGTTCAGACAAAATTATAAGAGGGCATTTAACTTCCCTTCTTCCCTCCCTGCCAGGGTGAAGGTAGTTTTAGGCTTAAAATTTTTTATCTTTAAAATGTCACAGACTAAACTTGGCAGAATATAACTTGCATATATATATATATATATATATATATATATATATATATATATATATATATATATATATATATATATATATATATATATATATATATATATATATATATATATATATATATATATATATACACACACACACACATTAGTACCCCGATTTATGCAGTCAATTGAACCCATGGGGTACCGCGGAAAGTGAAAACCGCGTAAAGTGAACAACAGAACATATGGGATTAATTCCAATAGAGACTGGCCCGACCCCCAAACTCCACTTTTTCCGACACAATACCTATGTTGTAGTAAAAATAACATCATAATTTTATGATGGTATGCCAAACAAGGCGCTTTGGATGAGACCCACAAAATTAAAGAGGCCCCTTTTTCATCGTGCCTGAGAATGCACTTATTTAGCAAGATCCGCTTGAGACGCCGGTAAATTCTTCCCAACATCGGCGAGAAGCTCGCGAAGGTTCTGGAGACGAAAGTGTAGAAGGTCTATAGTTTGTGAAACTATTGTCGAATTATTAGAAGCTGTGCTGAGACCATGAAGGATGTCCAATGCTGATTGTAGTTGGCCGTCAACGTTTTCCATTTGACGCGGAAGATGGAGTAGTGGATGGAGTTCATACTTGATGTTCACCATGTCCTCAACTATGAGAACGTGTCCGAGAGGTGCCACTAGTGCACTCGGTTTGAGGACTGATGTGGACATGTCTGTCAACACAACAGTGCAACAACAGAGTAGAAGCTACACACTGAAGATCCAAGCCATTCTGTAAGGAATTACAAACGATTTAACGTCTACTTGCAGAACGAAGTTTCATACAATAGTCATTTGGAACACTCTGCTTCTATACAAACTGTAAGGAGGTGTCAATCACATCATCATCAACTGGAGGTAATACATTTATCTGGGTCTTCTTCAGACGATCCGCGTGCACGACATCTGCAAACTTTGCATTAAGCTTCCAAATTTTAAATTTGTTGCCTGATTCTTTTGAGATTATGCGGAATGGACCAGAAAATTTTGCCGAAAGTTTGGAGTTCCTTTCAGGTTCTCTTAACATAACAGCGTCCCCAATGTTTAATGCGACAGGTTTAGCTTGTTTATGTTGTTTGATGATCATTTCGGCGCGTGACGCCGCTAGATGTGATCGTACTTGGGCATGAATATCTGAAAAGACATGAGTTTGTTTTGCTGCGAAATCATCCGTATTATAAACCGGGTATGGCGCATCTGTAAGGATGTCGTAAGGTAGACGTTTATCTGTACCATAGACAATGTAGTAGGGTGTTTTGCCAGTAGAGCTATTAACTGACCCATTTATAGGCGCTGCAACCTGCGGTAACCAATCCTCCCATGCGTATTGAAAACCACTGACAATTGGACGCAGTATTTCTAGGATTTTAAGATTGGTTCTCTCAACAAGGCCATTAGCCTGTGGATGATAAGCTGTCACTAAAGTTTGTTTAATACCATATTGTGCACGTATATGCGCTACTAGCTGATTCTTGAACTCTGTGCCATTGTCAGAGAGCAGAACTTTAGGCGTAGTATATGGACATATAAGATTCATCACTAATGCATAGGCTACTGTTTCGGCCATTTTGCTTTTTAGTGGGACCAAGACCACAAACCTTGAAAAATGATTCACACACACTAAGACGTACGCCGAACCCTGATGACTCATTGGGAGCTGTAACAAGTCAATAGCAAATGTGTCAAACGGGCAGTCTGGTGTAGGATATTGTAGAATCGGGGCTGGTGATCCTGTTGAACCTTTATGTTGAGCACACGCCAAACAATTAGCTATGTGCAATTCTATGTTTTTCTTCATAGTGTTCCAGAAATACTTCTTTCGCAAATCCGCTAAGCATTTATCACGACCTTGGTGAACTGCCTGTGGGACATCATGGAACAATGTTATTACTGCTTTGAACAACGTGTCAGGTACGACTATTTGAGACACGTTTCCCTCAGGTGATTTTCTCGACCTATGGAGTATGTTATGTCGTAATTCAAACTGACTTAAGGGAAGAATTAACTTGGGGAGTTTAACATCCTCACCCGATTCGAAAGCAAAAATAACTGCTGACCAATATGGGTCGCGTCGTTGCTCATCTTCCAGTTGAGAAAGAGTGAATGTTGATACAGGCATGACTGGTGCTATATTTCTTGACAGAGCATCAGCGACAACATTCACCTTCCCAGGTAAATACCTAAATTCGGGGTCAAACTCTTGAATTGTCAGATACCAGCGTGCTAATCTGCCTGATAAGTTTCTGCCATGGAACAGCTCAGTTACTGCCGCATGATCAGTAAAAACAGTTATCTTGTAGCCAAAGATAATGCCTTTGAACTTCTTAAGTGCCCACACAACGGCTAACGTTTCTAAATGCGTTACCGAATAACGTGTTTCAGCATCAATTAGTTTGCGACTTGCAAACGCTATCACTCGTAACTTTCTACGCGTATCCTATTGCATGAGCACTGCTTCGACTCCAAGTCAGGAAGCGTCAGTACAGAGAGTGAAAGGTTGAGTGTAGTCTGGGAATGCTAGAACCGGGGCATTGGTAAGCCCTATCTTCAATGCCATAAAACTATCTTCGTGTTCAGCGTCCCATATAAACATTGCATCTTTTTTGAGCAACCTTGTTAGGGGCGATGCTAATGTTGCATAGTTCTTGATAAAGGAACGATAATATCCAGATAAGCCAAGAAAGCTATGCACATGGTCATTTGAGGTAGGACGCGGGAACTGAGATACAGCTTTGACTTTACCATTAACTGTATGTATGCCCTCACCGTCAACTACATGACCAAGGAAATGGATTCTGGATTTTAAAAACTCACATTTCGAGAGTTTTATTTTGAGGCCTGCTGTGGAAAGTTTGTCCAATACTTCACGCAGTTTAATCAGATGGGAATCGAAGTCCTTACTGACTACTATTAGATCATTCAAATAAGCGCAGACTGTGGTACCAATCAATCCGGCAAACAGGGTGTTGATCATTATTTGAAATGTTAGTGGGGCATTTCTGAGACCAAATGGCATCCGTAGAAACTCAAAGTGGCCTAGAGGCGTGCTAAATGCCGTGATTTCTCGTGATTTCTCATTGAGTGGTATTTGCCAATACCCATTAAGCAAATCTAAGTTGCTAAATACCGCATTATCCTTGCCTGAGGATTGCAATATGTCGCTCAAGACAGGCATAGGGTACCTGTCAGGGATCGTTTGATCATTGACGCGCCTGAAATCTATAACAGGGTGCCATCCACCATCCTTTTTCGGGACGAGGAATAATGGGCTATTAAAGGGGGATTTTGAGTGTCTAATAACATTCTCATCTAACATACCCTGTACCATATCTTGTACTACAGCGCGCTGGCTATGAGGTAGTCTATAAGCTGGTACGTAAATAGGGTTGGTTCCCTCCTTTAAGGCTATATGATGGGATGTTAAATCTGTCTGACCTAGCGTTTCCCCTGGCAAGGCTACTATATTTCTATAGTCGGCAAGCAGCTCTCAAAGGAGTGTCTTGCCCTGGGGATGATTGATCACCTTAACATGTAGTGCTATTTGATCTATCCTGGCTTGTCGAGTCTGTTGGCATTTCGCAACAATACCTCGAATTGGGAATTTTGTAGGCTGTACTTCGACATTGTTGTGATATGCTAGAAAATCACACAAATAACATCCTTTCTTTAAGATTCGTTGAACGCCTGTTCGATTTAGAATCAGTACGTCGGTCAAACCACCTGAGCGTAAGGTGCTCAGGGTAGATTCACATGACAGCCCTTTTACCTTGCACGTTTCCGGGAGACACACTACATCAGTGCCCGTGTACACGTTGGGTAGTTCGACAGTTGCTTTGGTGATTTCCTCATTCTGGTAATGGAGAGTACTCTTTAACACTGCAGGTACGATTGTCCAACTCTTGCTGCTGTAATCACGCTGGGAAGTGTGTGGTTGAGGTCAAGAAGTATCTCTGATGCACGATCCGCCTTCCTCTTAATAGGATTGGTAGACAACACTTTTGTTCTAGCTGTTAGCATAGGTTCAGAATGACTCATCGCTTTGTAGGAAACACCTTTAAACGTAACAGTATTATTACATGGAAGAACATCTATCACGTTCTTTCGAAAAGTTGGTAGACCAAGTAACCCGTCAGCTGGCAAATTGAACTGTTGAACCATATAAAAGTCCACGTAGAAGGGCGTACCATGTCTTGAGAATCTGAGTGGTAACGTCACCATTCCTTTGATGCTCAGCTGAGTACCTGAAACTCCTTCGAGCTCAGCGTTACTAGGCCTCCAATTGAAGTTGCGGTGAGGGAATTTACGTTGTGATTCGTGATAGGATGTCAAGGCCAATACATTAGCGCAAGTACCTGTGTCTATATCAAGAGCCAATCTGGTATTATCCACTCTCACCGGCACTGACAACACTTCCACTTTGCTAAGCGCCGCTACTAACGAGGCCGCTATAGAAGTGCTGTGAGGAGGGGTGGGAATTACTCTATCTATCCCTCTCCTTGGTGTGGTGTGCGCTGGTCTTCCCCCGACGACTTGTCCCGGGGACGCTTCTGCTTACGCCTATACGACACTTCTGTTTCACTAAGGTCCTCACCCCTAGCCTTTATTAACACATCGCACTCATGTGAACTATGAGATGTCGATTTGTGAAGTGCACACCATTTGT